GGCTGTCAGCTGGGAGCTCAGCAGGCTGGAGGCCTTGGTTCCCTTCCACAGGCACTTCTCCACCACTATTTAGGCTTCTTCAGGACATGGTGGCTGGTTTCCAAGAACAAGCCACTCAAGGGAGCCAGGAAGAAGCTGTATCCACATTCATTATCTAGCCTTGGAAGTCAGAGTGTCCTTCTGTTCTATCCTCAATTCTTCCAGATTCAGGGGTAGGTCTATATATTCAGCTCCTCAATGAGAAAAATATTGTAAAAGAGCATGTGAGACAGGAGAAATCACTGCAACCATCTTTAGAAAATACAGTCTGAAGGCCGGGGCAAGTGGTAGAGCACCTGTCTAGCAAGCACAAAGTCCTGAGTTCAAACCCCAATGCCACCAAAAGAAAAAAAAAGTACAGTTTACATATACCGTTAACTAAAATAGCATATGAAGGTGCTGTGATCCTTAAAAAGTCAAGCATTTTGGCCTTCCTTCTTCAGACTGTGGCTCTTGCCAGACCTCTGTCTTGACACTTCTGGTCCAAACTCTCATCTGTGGAGTTGAGATAATAATAATATGTCCCTTATATGGTTTATGAAGACAAAAGATAATATTTATAAAATACTTAGGAAACTGCTTGGTTCACAGGAAGTCTGACTAAATAAAACCTATTCAGTTGTTTGGACCACAATTGCTAGATATCTGCTGTATACTTGACACCAAATAAAATAGAAGCAAGAGCTCCATAGCAAGTACCCTTAGGTAGGGAGTAAGTACTTAACGACATTACTTCAATTTCACATGATGGCCAAATCAATGTCTATTTCATATCCTATATTCCTTTTACAAGGTGACATTGATACATATTCAACAGGAAGTGGGGTATAATTCCTCTCTTTGAATCTGGGCAGACTCTTATAATGGCCTTCACCAGTGGAATATGGTGGAGGTGACAGAGTGTGACTTCTGAGGTCAGGTCATAAAATGCATTGTGACTTCCACTCTCAGATCACTTGTCCAGAGAAAAGGAAACCACTGTGTCACCAGAACACACATAGCAGTCCCAGGGGAGGCCCATGTAGACAGGAACCAAGATGTTCAACCTATATCCAGCACAGTTCTTCAACTGTGTAAGTTGATCATCTTGGAAGTGGATTCCCCCACCCCAGGCAAGCTTTCAGATGAGTGCAGCCCCTCTGATGTGTGATTGCAACTGCATGAGGAACTCCACATATGAACTGACCAGCTGAGCACTTCCTGACCCACAGAAACCATGAACGATAACATAGATTCCGGTTTTCCTGACTAAACTCTGGCTTAAGCAAATGGGTTAAGCAGCAACAGGTCACTAAAACATCAGCTCTCTGTCCCTAATATCCTCTCATTACAACAAATTAAGTTGAAGTTAAATTGATACATATTATGATCTCCAAGCATCACTTTTAAAAATTATTATGCCCTGTCTTATAAAAGGTAAATAAGAGGAAATCTATTAATTAATTATAATTGAGCATGCAAATGTTGACCTCAACTTTACCAGAAGACGTGACAAAGAGAAGAGATGCTACTGCATGGAGAATGCCATAGAGTCACTAGCTGCCTGTGGACTGCCCTGGGGCCACAAATGAAGCAACACTACCATTATGACAAGACTTTTCAAAACTTAAATGGGGAGGCTGGGAAAGTTCCAAATGAAATAAGTGCTTTGGATACTTTTCTCATTGCTATGACAAAATACCTGATGCAAACAACTTAAAAAAGGAAGAATTTATTCTGGCTCATGCTTTCAGAGGGTTCAGTTGTTTGGCCCCATGCACTCAGCACATGTCAGTGGAAGTGTGCAGTGGGACAGAGCTGTTCACCTCATGGCAGACAGGAAGCAGACAGAGGGGAAAATATAGGAAGAAACCAGGGTAAAATGTAACTCCCAAGGGCACAACCCAGTGACCTACTTCCTCTAACTAGACCCCACCTCTTACTGTTCCCCACTTCCCAATAATGTCATCATTTTATGAATCCATCAACAGATTAATCCATTGATTAGGTCAGCGGCCTCAAGACCCGATCACTTCCTAAAAACCCATCAGCTGGCAACCAAACCCCCAATACATGAGGCTGAAGGGGACATTTCATATTCAAACCATAACATATATACATATATATATTATACATATAATCTTCAGTTTACATAACAATTCATTCTTATGAATTTAGTAAATTTTAAAATATCACAAAGCTTGCTGAAAATACAACAGAGTTGGATTTGGGGTTCAGATAATAACAAATAGGTTTTTTTAGAATTTTTTTGGCAGTATTGGGGTTTAAACTCAGGGCCTCATGGTGGCTAGGCAGGCACTCTATCACTGGAGCCACTCCACCAGCCCATGGCTTTTTTATATGACTGTCCCATAGACCAGGTGATCGTTGTGCAGAACTTGGAACAACTGTCCCATCCTTCACGTTTCAGGATGTCTGCCTCCTCTCACCTCTTTCCATTATTGCACTGAGCAAACAATGTTTACACAAATATCCAAAAAGTTCCTGGGGTGGTACCATTTTCTGAACCATCCCCAGTGAGAATGGCTTTTTTCAGGAGGATTAAATTATCCCCTTAGAGACCTCCATCTTTCCTCTGTGCTCCACTAGAGAGAATAGCACGTGCAAAAGCCCTAAGGAGGGAGCAGGTTCAAGGAACAGTAAGAAGGCCAGTGTGACTAAAAAGAATGGGAAGGAAGACAAGAATCCAAAGACCCAAAAAGACACCAAACAGTTCACTCACAAAGGGCTTGGGTCTTTGTCAGGCCTTCAACTCTGCTGAGCAAGTGTTTGAGAGACATGAAGTAGGCTCAGATTTTAACAGGATCTTTCTGACTGCTGTGTTGAGAATGGGCCCTGGGGAGCCCAGCGGGGAGCAGGAGCAGCTAGTGGTGACTATATCTAGAAAATGGGCAAGATCATAGGACCTCCCTCACAGTACCATTTTGTTTGAAGCTTTTGTTAATGTATTGTATTTTGTTATTGTATTTGTATTATTGCAAACTTAACATCTGATTCTACAAAGGAGAGATGAACTCCAGTGGTAGCTCACGGCAGAGACATCTTCTCAGAAGACAATTAACCGTATCCTGACCACAAGGGGCCTTAGGACAGCACAAGGCAGGAAAGTGATGCTTGAGTCACGTGGGCAAGAGGTCAGGAGGCCAGTGTGAGCTGTGGTCAAAGGGTAAAGCAGCGGGAGGAAGAGGTGAGCTGTAGGAATAGAAGGCAGGGAATCCTACCTGGTCTCTTGTTCAACATGAAGGTGTTTGAACAGATCATAAGAGGGACTTCCAGCAGGGATGTGGGAGCAGGTGTGTGACAAGATGAGAAAGCAGTTTAAGGAACAGCATCCTTTTGCTCCCTGAAGCCTCTCAGGTAACATCACTAATTATCTTCCATGCTGCAGAGCGGTCTTCCTAAGTGCAAATCAGACCACATCCTGTCCCTGCTCCTGTTTGGAGCGCCTGTTGATTTCCCATGTCCCTAAGGCAAAGGTGCACTCCTCATCCTCATCCCCCTCCAAGTCTTGTGGTCTGGCTCTGTCTTCGTCACACAGATGCCTTCTCTGGAATGTCATAAGTCCCCGGGCTCCTCCTGACCTGTGCCTCACACCACGGCACAAGTCATGTGTTCTGTGCTTCCTGGGTTCCCTATTCCTCTCCTTTAGGGGACTTGTCAAGGCCAACTCTCAGACATTTGAGATCTAACTGTCTAGTACTCGTCTCCTCGGCTTGACTGTCAACCTCCTGCTGTCAGGACCAGTGTATGTTTCACAGAAAGTCTGCTGCCTGACACTTACTGTGACACCCAACACCTGAATGAATAAACTCAAAATAGATAGAGGAAGAGGATGCCGGGATTGAGGTTGGATTCTTCGTGCTCCTCTCCCCTGGAGATACCCATCCAATTCAAGTCTCGGCCTCAATGCCACCTTCTTAGGAAGCCTTGTTTGCCACCCTGCAGACCATGCCAAGCCCTTCTGCCGTGTGCCCCTTCAGCTCCTGCACTTATTGTATCAAAACAGTAATTAGTCAGATGTGGACTCACCCATTCAGGTACCACCCACACCCACCTAGAACACAATAATTAATGCTTTCCTCCCATGTTCTAAGGGAGCTGAGTGACAGGCAGCTTCTTCACAGTCCCTTCAGAGTCATCCTGATTCCCATTCTGTAGAAGGGGAAACTGAGAACAGAAAAGTCAAGTAGAAGGTGGGTCAGTACATGGGCAAGTCAGGATTTGAACTCAATCAGCTGACCCCAGACCCTGCTTATAACCATTGAGCAACACAGCCTCACCATGCCATTAAGGCCATGTCTATCTTGCTCACTAACGTATTCTCAGAGCCTGGCATAGAGAATATACAGTCTGTCTTCAGCATTGGCAAATTCTTTATGTGCAAATTGGCATAGCACTAAAATTTATTTCTACCTCCAAAATCAATTCCCTTGGCGTTTTCTTGGTCATTCACAGACATGTATAGACTAGCAAAAAGAAAAAAGGCACCCAGCATTCATACTCCCAGAGGAAGCTGAGCAGGCAACACTCTGCCTTCTGATTTTAGCTTTCATGCTATAAGCAAATGTCCTTTCTCGGTCCATTTAAAACTATGCTTTTTTGTTTGGGAATCTCGCTGTTTAAAACAGTCTTCAAGCATAGTGCTGACTGGCTTTCTCCTGTGTTCCAAGTGCAAGGCTGTGTTGTGCCTTGCAGGGAAATCATGTATGTTAGATAAACATCATGAATGATTGAGCCGTCGGTACAGTAAGTTCAGCATAAAGAAATCCACGGTGCATATTAACTAAGGTGTCTTCAAACAAAACCACATGAAGCAAAGTTACGTACTGATGAATTGATGAATGAATTGTGACCTGAGGATCTCAGAGATCTACCCTTGCATTTCCCCTGTGAGCAGTGGGTTCAGGACTCGCTAATTCAGTGATCACAGGGATTTCAAAGATGGCTAACTACTGCGAATAATGAGACTAACTGGTAGGTATAAATAGTGACTGGAGGAACCACAGCTGGCAAGAAGTGTGTGGAAGGACAAACCAGAAGTTCTTGGCCTCATCTCCCTGTCCTCTCCCTGCACAGGGGTCAGAGTCACCAAGGTAGACTGGCAGCGGTCAAAGAATGGCGCTGCCCACCACACCCAGGAATACCCTTGCCCTGAGCTGGTGGTTCGCAGAGGCCAGTTGTTCAACCTTATCCTGGATCTGAGCGGAGAACTGGACAGCGAGGAAGCCCTCATCTTCACGGTGGAGACAGGTAGCTAGGCTCGCCTGCGCCCCCTGCTGGTGGGAAGTTGGAGAGCCATGCGGGACCCTGTGATCAGCGACCCACCCTTTAGGGGAAACAAGTCTGTATCGGAACCTGAATGCTTCTGATACCAGCCTGAAGGTGCTGCCTGCAGACCATGGGATTGGTGAGAGGAGTTCTCTAGAGCCCTGTGTGTGGAGAATCCAGGGTGTGGAGAATGGTCAGGCATTTTTGGAACTCAAGTTCTCCTTTCCTGTCCTGCCAGACAAAAGGCAGACTAGTTTTGAAGGGCACTGTCACTTTCTCCTTCTCCCAGGAAGCAGCTAGGAGTCAGGGCAGCTGAGACAAACCCACTCTGCCACTCTCAGGCTTGATGGGGTCTCCCCACCATGCATACAGTCTCCCAGGATTTCAGGTCTAAGAGCTGGGCTTCTCTAGAGCTGGGTTTTCTAGGGGCAGAGTCTCCTGATCCCCTGTCCCCTCTGCCAGGGCCCCAGGCATCCGAGACTCTCCACACCAAAGCTGTGTTCCAGACAGCGGAGCTGGAGGTGAGCGATGCCTGGACAGCAGCAAAGGAGGTACAGTCAGGGAACACCGTGACCGTCAGCCTCACCAGCCCTCCGGATGCCATCATCGGCCGTTACCTACTGAGAGCCAGGCCTTCTTCTCGCCGGAAGCACAGTGACCGGAAGCTGGGCGAGTTTGTTCTCCTGTTCAACCCTTGGTGCCCAGGTAAGAGTTGTGGCATCTAAGGCAGGGTCCCAGGAAGCCAGCTTTACTGGGCAGGCCTTCCCCCGAAGAAGCCTGGAGGCAGGTGAAGGAACAGGGAAGTGAATGCCAAGAGCTGGGTCAGCACTGGGGCTGCCTGGAAGTGGGCACCGGGCAGAGGAACCTGGTAGCAGGTGCTAGAATGGAGCCTATGCCAGGGGAGCAGGAAGTCAGGGGATTCTGGTGTTGGAGGCCCGTGGTAAGAGATGGAACCTGATGTCCAGAAAGGCCCAGGAATGGTAAGAGCTGGGGTTTGGGAACCACAGCTCTACTAAGTTGCTTCCTTCTGTGAGGCTTAGCTCCCACATCTGAGATATGGTACTAACAACAGCACAAAACTCTCAGGGATATGGTGGGAATCCACAGAGCAAATGCAATCAATTACAAGGTTAGTCACAGATCTCAGTGAAGGGTAGCTAGGATCAGCATTCTTATTAATGTTTACAGAATGTGACACTGTTGTTAGCATAAAGTTGGGCCACCCCCAAAGGGATTAGAACTCCCCAAGTCCTCCCGTCTTGGGCTGGACAGGTGTTGGTCCCTACTTGGGGAAAAACCATCCAGGAGGGGAGGGGCTTTGCAGGCAAGCCCCTCCTATGCTGTCCTGCCCTGTCAGCCTCCGGATTCTGTTCTGCTGCTGAGCCATAGTGCAGCCTTCTCCCAGACTTGATGACTGTTTTTCAGAGGACGATGTGTTTCTGGCCTCAGAGGAGGAGAGACAGGAGTACGTGCTCAATGACAGTGGTATCATCTTCCGAGGCATGGAGAAGCACATCCGAGCCCAGGGCTGGAACTACGGGCAGGTCTCCAGGGGCACAGCTGGACAGGGATGGGGACGAGGGCATGGGAAAAGCCAAGGGGAGGCTTCTGTCCATCACTTTTTCCTGGGTGGGACAAGGTGGGCTGACTCTCAGAACAAATCCACCCATTCAAACATCCATCCATCCATCCACCCATTCATTCACTTGTACTTACTCACTGTGTTGGGACTGTGCTGGGCCCTGGGGAAGGAGAGGTACTTCAGTGCAGTTCGGAAAAAGAGGTAAGTTTTGTGTGGAATGACAAATAGCTTCCATCAGTGATTTTAAGCCAGAGCCTGCCTCAGAATCATGTGCACGGCTCCTTAAAACACAGATGGCTTGCTGAGCAGGTGCAGGGCCAGGCTGAGAGTGTGTATTTTAATAAATTCCCCAGTAATGCTGACACTGCAAGCTTGGCACCATACTTTGAGAGTCACTGGCCCAGATAAGAATAGTCATCCCTGCGTTTCTAGTGGGGATTGCTTCCAGAACCCCCTGCAGATAGCAAAACCCACAAAGACTCAAGTCCCTTCCATAAAATGGGGCGGTATTTACATTTCACCTATGCCCATCATCCTGTTTATACACTTTAAACCGTGTCCAGATTACTTATGATCCCTAATACAGTGGAAATGTATGTAAGGAGTTAAACTGTATTGTTTAGGGAATAATAACAAGGGAAAAGTCGGTACATGTTCAGTGCAGACGCAATCGGTTTTGCTGAATATTTTCAATCCGAAGTTGTTGACTCATTGGATACAGAACCCACGGATGCAGAGGACTGACTGTTGCTAAGAAACCAGTCGCAATGAGGAAGGAAAATGAGGGTGGGAGCAAAGGGGGCCCAGAAGCAGTGAAAGGAACCCCTCCCCCTGGGGAAGGGGCTTCCCAGGATTGAGGAAGATTTCTTGATATCAGGATGGGTCTCCAATGTTGGTCAGGACCTAGACAGGGAGTGAGGAGAGCTGTCACAACAGCTGGAGGTGAGAGGAAAGGGAGTTCTGAGTCTGGTAGAGACTGCTTGTCTGGGCTCTGGGAGGAAGGTAGGTCAGGAAGCTAAGAAGCAGCTGCAGAGTCCAGTACTGTCCTGCAGGCTAGGAGTTTAAAGCATTTAGGGGTCAGGGAGGACACACTGACAATTTTAGGGTCTATATAAGGGGTAACCTCTATTTATTTACCCACTTCTTGTTGCCATGAGAGAAAGTGAGCCCAGGATCAGCAGGCCTTCCAAATTTTCAGAGAACAAAAATCTAAATTATTTTTTGAAAAATTTTCCAGTTTTTAAGTGTTGTCAACCAATCTAGTGTACGTGATTGAAACATCATGTAGATCAAAAGAGTGTCTCAGTAAGATAGATGTGGCTCTTGAGTCACAAGGTTTATGACTTTATTAGGGGTAGTGGGGAGCCGTGGGAGGTTATTGAGCAGGGAAGGGGCATGATTAAGGTTGAGCCTCTTGTTGCTCCAGGGACTCTTTCGGGAAGCGTTTCTGATGCTTGGGCATGCCCTGTGACGCACCTAGGGAGTGAGTCAGGGAAAACTCCCCTGCACACACAAGTGACTGGCTATGTGGGATTGTGGGAGGGGCTGGGATATGGGTGAGCTTCATCCTCTGAGCACCGCCTTTCTGGGAGCAGTTTGAGGAGGACATCTTGGACATCTGCCTCGCCATCCTGGACCGAAGCCCCAGTCACCAGAGCGACCCAGCCGCCGATGTGTCCCGACGCCACGACCCTGTCTATGTCACCAGGATCATCAGTGCCATGGTGAGGCGCCCCACCGTCTCTACATGTGCCTTATCTGAGGACTCCCAGAGCTACAGCCTGGGACTCCCCCCAAGTCACCCTTTGTTTTAATTCTCTATGCTGCACAACCAGTCACCCCCAAACTCAGTGGTATAAAACATCCTGTGTTGTTTACAGCTTCACAGATGAGTCATTTGGGCAAGGCACCATGAGAATGGCTTGTCTCTGCTCCAGGATGCTTCAGTGCAGCAGGGCGGGAGGGTGCAAACAGCTGCAGATGTCTGGGGTGGTCTGACTGGACCATACATCCGGGGCCTTGCTTCTGGTTGTCTGCAGCTCCTGTTTCCCACTCCTGAAGTGTATGATAGAGCTAAATATCCAAGATGGCTTCCTTGCCCTCACTCAGGGCTAGGATGGCTGGAGCAGCTGGGACTAGCCAGTTAACACACTTTCTTTCCATGTAACCGCTCTGCATAGCTAGCTTGGGGCTCCTCACAGCATGGCAGATTCACACATGGCAGCTCGTTCTCCCCTGTTCCCCCCACCTCAATGATTGTTCCAAGAATGAGGAAGTAGAAGCTACCAGTCTTCCAAGGTCTGGGTCTGGAAACTGGCCCAGCACCACTTCCACCACAGTTAGTGGTCAAAGCAGTTCCAGGCCAGCTCAGACTCAAGGGGAAGAGGTACAGATCCCACCTCTCTGGGGAAAGAGTACCAACTTTAATTGATCTCGGGCCTCAGACCACTAGTGGCCTCTATCCCATGCACGTGGTAAGGTCATGGATGGGGAGCTGTATTTCCCATATTTAATCCTCTCAATTCCTCAAGACCTCAGAGAGATGGAGCACAGAAAACCAACAGCAGTGACAGGTCCCAAACAAAAGAGCATCAGTGAACCACAAGTCCTGAGCTCATGGGTTACCCCCTTAAGCTAGCTTGCTACGTGATCTGCGCAAGCTCCTTAATCCCTCTGAGCTCAGTTTTCCCATCTGAAAACAAAAAGGAAAGAAAAGAGAAAGAATATATATATAGAACTTACATTGTAGACTTAAAACAGGTTAATGTGTGCACAAAACCCTTTAGAACAGCATTCAATAAATGTTAGCTGTCTCTGTAATTATGATACCACCACCAGCCCAAAATAAGAAATATTCTGAAATCGTAGATGACTTTTAACCCCACACTATGCAACTGGAAAATAACTGAAAATTAGAAATAGTGCCAAAAAGTAGGTCTTGTTTCAAGGAAGAGGGGCTGCTGAGTGTGTGCGTGTGTGTGTGTGTGTGTGTGTGTGTGTGGTGGTGGTGGTGGTGGGTGGCAGTGCTGGGGATAACCCCAGGTGTCAGGCATGCTAAGCACATGCCGTACCACTGAGCTGCACTCTCCCCAGACCAAGAAAAGTAGGTATTTTAAGACACAATTTTCAGGCAATTTAAAAACAAGGCATGGCCCCTACTGACCTGATGGTCCAAAGTTGAAAATGATTTGACTGTGGGGAGGTTCCCAAAGTGGGAATTCTGCCTGGTGGCAGACCCATTCCTCCTCTGCCCAGGTGAACAGCAACAATGACCGGGGTGTGGTGCAGGGCCAGTGGCAAGGCAAGTATGGCGGTGGCACTAGCCCCCTGCACTGGCGCGGGAGTGTGGCCATTCTGCAGAAGTGGTTCAAAGGCAGGTACAAGCCGGTCAAATACGGCCAGTGCTGGGTCTTCGCTGGAGTCATGTGCACAGGTACTGCAAAGAAGGGCCCCTCTCATCAGCCAGCTCCCTCGCCTGCACGTATTTGCATGCATTTGCATATGTGTAATCAGTCTTCATTGATGAGTTGGAAATGAAGGGAGAAACCTGATAGTCCGTTTATTTAACTTTTCATCTTTCATCTGGCAATCCATCCCCCTCTGCCTATAAGCTAGAGAGCTTATAGAGCGGCTTGGGCTGATCCCTTTAGGCCTCCAGTCCCCTCAGAAACGTGTGTGGCCCCAAAACCTTGCCAGCCTCAAAGTCTGTCTGTCCAAGTGGGAGTGACAGTAGTGTCTCCAGAAGTCCCCTGAGAGAATGCACAGGAAATGGTGGCATTTCTGAGACAGCAGAGTCTCAGCCCTGCCACCTGCCAAAGCAGACAAACACTGGGGGACTGTGGCCCCAGTGGGATACAGTAGTCTGCTAGGGGCCAGACGCCCCCTTCCAGGCCTGGATTCCGCCTGCTCCTACAGACTCCCAGCCCTCTGCTCTGCAGTCCTCAGGTGCCTGGGAATCGCCACCCGGGTCGTGTCCAACTTCAACTCAGCCCATGACACTGACAAGAACCTGAGTGTGGACAAATACGTGGACTCTTTTGGGCGGACCCTGGAGGACCTGACAGAAGACAGCATGTGGTGGGTCCCAGGCCACTGTGTCCAAGGGTCCGGGCCAGCAGCTGCCCACCCCAGCCCCAAATGCTCAGTTTTCCTCTCCTCTCCTCACAGACATTTCTTTCGTGTGGGGTTGCTGTCACCACCCAGGTTGTCAGGGTCTCCCCTCTTGCCCCCAAATGCTTACTAAGATATTTTCCTAAAGAAATGGCCTCCCTGAGAGGAGTTCTGAGGATGCCAAGTCAGGCAAAGCAGACACTGGGTTTCCCTCTGCTGCTTCCTTACTGTATGCCTTTGTGCTGGTATTGTCACTTTTCTTAGTCTCACATTCCTAGTGAACATAGGAAGCTGAAAACAAATTAAGAACTCTTACCAGAGCTGCAAGCTCTGCAGAACTGATACCTTATCTACCATCATAGCTGACGTACCCAGAGATACCTACACACATTCCCTTCCTTGAGTGTATAAGCTTTTTCTCGCCTCTGGACCTTTGCACGTGCTGTTCCTTCTTCCTGGAGCACTGTTCCCTTCACTCTTCCTTCCTGGTTAATTCTTTTGCATTTGGGAATCAACTTAGATGTCACTTACCTGGTGTAGGTGTCCAGCAGGTGTTCTCTAGTGCAAACCCCTCTTTGTCTTTGCAGCACTGTCACTGGCATTTGTTTGATTTGTCTGCTAAGTTAATGTTGTCTCCCCATCTGTCTTACATGAATGTAAGTTTCATGAGGGCAAAGATCTTCTGACTTATTTGCAGTTGCAGTTCTGGTACCTTGAAGAACAGGTTCCTCAATATAACACACATACACACACACACACAATACATAACACAAACATAGAAATGAATGGGATGCACTCATGAATACATTCACAAGATGTAGCCCCAGGGCTTAGGCCAAGTAGGCACCCAGCCCCTGGTCTGCTTCAGTAGCCTCCCAATTCTGGGACTCTTTGCTCACATGCGGCCACCTGGTCCATTCTCTCTGTGTGCCAGGAATTTTCACGTCTGGAACGAGAGCTGGTTTGCACGGCAGGACCTGGGTCCCTCTTACAATGGCTGGCAGGTTCTGGATGCTACGCCCCAGGAGGAGAGTGAAGGTAAGGCTCAGTAGGTGGGTCCCAGACCCCACCATTCTTCCCCCATGCTGCTCACACCTACCCCACCCGCCCAGGTGTGTTCCAGTGTGGCCCAGCCTCAGTCACCGCCATCCGCGAGGGTGACGTGCACCTGGCCCACGATGGCCCCTTTGTGTTCGCGGAGGTCAATGCTGACTACATCATCTGGCTGTGGCACAAGGATGAGAGTCGGGAGCGTGTGTACTCGGACACAAAGAAGATCGGCAGATGCATCAGTACCAAAGCTGTGGGCAGCGATTCCCGCGTGGACATCACAGGCCTCTACAAGTACCCAGAAGGTAAGGGCCATGTGGCGGCCTTTATCAGCTTCCCCAGGATGGCCTGTGGCCTGCAGAGAGCCAGTGCAGGTGGCCTGGGGCCAGATCCTCTCTATAATGTTAGGATGGTGACAGATGCTTCTTGTTCAGCTGCGAGCCAAGTGTCTTTATTTCGGTTAAATGAACAGCTTGCTTTGCTCGCTAAGTACATCTTCTGAGTTAGGAGATTTCCCATGTACAATGATCACAGCTCCATTTCCCTGACCACTCGCCAATAACCAGGCTCTGCAGGGCAATCACACAGGATAACGGTAAATACTACCAGTCACAAGAGTGATGCTGACAGCACTGATTACATACTGAGCCCCTGGGAAATGTGGCACAAGGCATAGTGCAGACCACAGAGCACTAGACATAGCAGATCCTGGGCTTTGTCACCCGCCAGGGCTCCTGCCATAGTCTCTCATTCGTGGTCACTGGCATACAGAAGAGCCTATACCTATTAAGGTATAAAAACAAGACAGGTGGATTTTTTTCTCATAGCTAACTCCAAATACATACTTTAAAGTCTCTCCTTCCACAGATAGACAGGGCCCTGAGCCGTGCTGTGTTCTGATCCATGTATTTCCAGTCATTTCTCCTTGTTAAGACAATGTTCCCAAGTCAATAAGACTTCCAGTTCAAATTCAAATCAGAGCTTGTCTCCTCCCCTGCACTAAACACAAACCAGAACAGTGACCCCAGAAGGTTGCTGGAAGAGGGGACAGGTCTGCTCTGGGCATCTCCACCAGGGGTAAAGAGAGAGGTCTTGACTGACTGTCTCTACCATAGTGTGCCCCTTCAGGTCTGTCCCCTGCTCAGTAAGACAGGCAAACAGACCTCCCACAGGGAAAGAATCCCAACTTCCTCTTCCTCTTCTGGTAGGCATTCCCAGGCTTTACCAGCTGGCCCCTTCTTGTTGCAAACCTAACATTGATTCATTGAAGCCATACACAGCCGTACACATTGAACATTGATTAAGCCCCCATACACAGCTCATAGGCACCACCTCCCCTTGGTTCCCGTCTCTAGGAACGTGGGGTTTGCTTGAGAGTGACTGCCTCTCTTCTGTCTTCCCTTACCGTCTTGGGGTGGCAGTGGAAGGTGGTGGTGGGTTTGAGGCCTCTGTGCACTGGCACCTGTCTCATAGGTCCTGCAGTCTGGTAACATCTGCAGTTAGATTCTGGAATTTAGAATGTGGGGGTCTTTGGAGTCTTTGGTCCTAAGTTTTGGCCAAAGCCTCAGAAAAATTCAACATCCTATTACATGACAATAGTGAGATGTCTTACCCAGTTGGCGAGATGCTAGTTGTCAGCATTTTTATGTGAAATTTCCTGATCCAAAGTTGATGACAAATAAGTAAATTTTTGTTTAAATCTTTTTTTTTTTTTTTTGTGGTACTGGGGTTTGAACTCAGGGCCTACACCTTAAGCCACTCCACCAGCCCTCTTGTGAACTATTTCTCCAGGCTGGCTTTGAACCAAGATCCTCCTGATCTCTGCCTCCTGAGTAGCTAAGACTACAGGTATAAGCGCCCTGTACCTGGTTGAATTTTTATTTAAGTAGAAGACTGAGAGTGTAGCTCAGTGGCATAGCACTTACCTAGCATGCACAAGGCCCTAGGTTCCATCCCCAGCACCACAGGGGAAAAAGTCATTTAAATAGAAAGACAAATACAATCTGCATATGGCTCTTGATCTGCCACTGTGAGGCCTCTGAAGTGGTGACAGAGGGGCAGTTGTGCCCAGAGAAGTAAGGTGTGGGCCTGGTGGAGGAGGAAGAGGCTGCTGTCACTGATGATGGTGGTGCCCTGCAGGGTCCCGGAAGGAGCGGCAGGTGTACAGCAAGGCGGTGAAGAAGATGCTCAGCGTGGAAGCCTGGGGGAGGCGCACGTGGATCCGCAGGGTTGGTGGCCTGTGGCCTCTGGCGTGATGACCTCCTGGAGCCGGCCACCAAACCCAGCATCACTGGCAAGTTCAAGGTGCTGGAGCCACCGAGGCTGGGCCATGACCTGAAGCTGGCTCTGTGCTTAGCTAACCTCACCAACCGGGCCCAGAGGGTTCGAGTGAATCTGAGTGGTGCCACCATCCTCTACACCCGCAAGCCAGTGGCCGAGATCCTGCATGAATCCCATGCAGTAAAGCTGGGGCCACAAGAAGGTAAGAACAGCCTGGCGTGGTGGGACTGGTAACCTACCCCCTTTTCCAGGTGTATGGAGGGGTGGGCTTCCCTGGAGCTGCATTGGTTCCCAGGAAGGAAAGGGGCATTCCTGCACTTGGTACTCAGTGCCTTGCCTGACAAGAAAACAGAGCCTTGGAAGGGCAAATAATGATAATACAGTCCACAGTGCTATAAAGATAATAAAATTCCACATCTGGTGGCAAACTGACATGATGGTGAGGTTACTTATAGTCCCTAAATCATCCTAACTTGTATGAATGTTTACAGATGGAACATTCTGGAAGCATTTCATAAAGTACAGAGTATGCAAGCTGAGTGTGGTGGCTCCTGCCTGTAAACCCAGCTGCTCAGGAGGCAGAGACTGAGAAGCTCATGGTTCAAGGCCAACCCAGACAAAAATTCAGGGAGACCCCATCTCAACCAATAAGCCAAGCACAGTGGCATGCACCTGTCATCCCAGCTACATGGGAGGAATAAGTGGGAGGATCACAATCTGAGGCTGGCCCTGGGCAAAACTTGGAGACCCTACCTGAAAAACAACGATCAAAAAAACATTGGGGGGGACATGGCTCAAGTGGTACAGTACCTGCCTCAAAAGCATGATGTCTTGAGTTCAAATCCTATATCACTAAAGCAAAACAAAACAAAAAACCCAGAGTATGCCTTGTGTGACTTTCCTCAAATCCACAACACTCTGGAGTCCACCCGGACCCAGGTGTCCTGCATGAGAGGAATAGACCCGTAAGAGCTGTTCACTAAGTTCCAGGCTGTCCTGAGACCTCTGATGTGAGGGCAGGAGCCCAGCCACCTGGTAGTCCATCCCTCCGAGGAGGAGCCTCACACCCAGAGGCCAAAATCACAGTCAGTGCAGGTGATGCAGGACCTGTTCCCAGGCAACCTGGTCCCAGAGACACACTCCTGAACAAGGGGAGGGAAGGGGCGAGGCCGGGTTCCAGGCTGGGAATGCTGGGCCTCAGGACCCCTCACCTCAGCTGACGGGTGACTGCACACGGCACCATGGGGCAGGTTGCCCACAGCTGCTTCAACAGCCTGATGGGACATTGGCTAAAATCCATCTTTGGAATTTCACTGCCACATGAAGGGCCTTGGGTCTTTTGAAGGTGTATATATATATATATATATGACATATATATATATGTCTTATTCGTGGATTTATTATTCATAGTCAAAAAATAAATTTAAAAAAGCTCTCAGTCCATCCCGCATTATGGCCTGTTGTATTTAAATAATTGCATGATCTTCTGGGTGTCTCTCTGCCCTTACTTTTGGTCCCCAGAAAGCAAGGTGAAAACGAATGTGCTTAATTGAAGTGACGAAGTGAAAATTTGAGATTTGCTGAAAGGAGGCTTGTCCCTAGCGAAAGGTGGGCAGTGTTTTGGGGAAATGAATCAGGCACTCAGTACAGCACCAGTGTCTGTGCGCCCTGAGCTTACACGGTTATCCTCAACGGTTGTCCTTGGAAGCGGGTGCTCACAGATGCAGAGTCCATTGTACACACATGTGTGTCTGTCCTCTCTCTGTCTCTCTATGTGTGCTTCTCCTCTCTCTCTTTCTCTCTCTATATATATATACTTATCTATCCATCTATCAAGCTTTCTCTCTGTCTCTGTCTCTGTCTCTCTCTCTCTCTCTCTCTCCTCTCACATGCCATCTGAACTCTGAAAATTCAATTGAACAAAGTTTAATTACTGTCGCTCCTCTGGACCATTTCCTGGCGAGTGCACCTTGTGAGTTTTGACAGGCACAAAAACACATGAAGGAGGTGTCACACATTTTTTTAGCTCTTTGTGTCACAAAATCTAAATCATAAAATAACACTTCATAATGAAATATTAATTAACATCCACTTTCCCCTGGCTTTTAATGATTTTTTCATCTTAAAAGTAATACATATTCATTAAAGACTTCAAGAGCAAAAGAGAAAAATTGCCTACGATCTCACCACCACCTACGAACTGTTAACAAGTTTCCTTCCAAGTTTGAATGCCTGCTTGCGTTTTGAAAAACATGGTTCTAATTAAATATTGCAAGTACTCATTAGTTCCTTGCCCTTTTCATATCGTAATTTAAATATTGTATAATTCCTTATAAATATCATTTGATAGATACGTAATGGTGATTTATTTTATCTTTTGGTAGTTATCAGCTTATTGCTATTAAAAATAACACTTAAAGTTATCAGCTTATTGCTATTAAAAATCTCAGTGGGTAGATGCCTGCCTAGCAAGCACAGGTCCTGAGTTCAAACCTCAATTAAAACAAAAACACTAAAATAAATATCTTGCTACAAAAACATTCCATTTTTTTTTCTGGATTTTGTACTATTTTGTTAGAATACATTATTGTAAGTGGAATTCTTGAACCCAGTGGTTTGATTATCAAAATATACACTTCACTAGAATACATAACTTATATTTTAAGTTAATAGACTTTTTTTAACAGTTACAGGGTTACAGAAAAGTTGAATGGAAGTACAGAGAGTTCCCATCTCTTCACCACTTCCCCTCCCTCCTCTTGTTAATGACGTGCTGTGCGTTGGTGTGGTACATTTGGCACAATTGGTGAGCCACTGTAACGCATTACTTTTAACAAAGTCGATGGTTGACATCGGGGCTCACTCTTCATGATATACAGCCTGTGGGTTTTGAGAAATGCATCCTAGAATGCATCCACTGTTTGAGAATCATACAAAATAGTTTCACTATCCTGAAACTCTGGAACTTCACTGCTCATCCCTCCCTCCCTTCCTGTCCCTAGATCCCAGCCTCCACTGCTGTATTAACCCTCTCACGGCTTTGCCTTTTCCAGAACCATGGTTGGAATCATACAGATGGTAGGCCATTTAGGTTGGTTTCTTAGCAATAGGTATTTAAGGCTCCTCCATGTTTTGTTTTGTTTTTTCATTTCCTTTTACCACTGAAGAATGTATGTATAGTATATACATATATGTGTGTTGTATGCTAGTGTATATAAATACAACTTATTTTTATATACATAAATATAGACATATATACAGTTTATTTATAAATGCAATTTATTTATCCATTCATGTAGTGAAGGCATCCTGGCTGCCTTCAATTTGGGGCACTTATAAATAAGGCTACTTTAAAGACCTGTATTAGTCCCTTTTGTGCTACTCCAAGGAAATACCTGAGGCAGGCTAACTTTATAAAGAAAAGAGATTTAGGGTTGGTGAGCGGGAGGTAGGATGCTCAGAAATCACAAAAGCTGGGGTATCAGTGAAGCCTTCCCACAGCCCATGGGCTGACCAGGATCCACAGAGAAGGGGAATTTGGAGACATTGCCAGGAAGCTGGCCTCGTTGAACTGGAAGCCTGAGGTGGTCCTTTGGTCTCCCTCTTCTCTGTGGCTGGAGTGAGTCAATTCCTGATGAGATGAATTATCAGTGGATTAAAGGTTTCCTGAATAATTAGGGAAAATTGAGACAGATCACCGGGAGCTTTTGGGGAGCCCATCTGGTGCCATGGTATCTTACTGGCCTGAGTTTGAATCCCACCTCATCTTGGCTCCTTAATGTAATTGCTGTGTGACTTTGGACAGGAAATTACCCTCTCTGAGCCATTGGCTCCTTCATCTATGAACTGAGGAGAATAATGCCCATCTCAGGATGACTGCAAGTACACAGGGTATACATCTATTAGTTGGGCATTTCTTCCCTCCCCCTGGGTGCCACTGAAAAAGAACATCGAACCCCCAAGTCTCACCTCTGCTTTCCCTTTCAGAGAAAAAGATCCCAGTTGCAATATCTTATTCTCAGTACAAAGAAGACCTGACTGAGGACAAGAAGATCCTGCTGGCTGCCATGTGTCTTGTCACCAAAGGAGAGAAGCTCCTGGTGGAAAAGGACATCACTCTGGAAGACTTCATCACCATCAAGGTGACTCCATCCACATCCACAGCCCATTCCTAGCAGAGCTGGAGAGGGCACCAGAAGCCAGTGCCTTGGGCACAGGCTTTGTCTCTCAAGGGAGGGGAGGATGTGGGTGCAGGGGGATGGGTATGACAGTAGCACTCTGTAGCACATGAGCAATGCGCCATCCTCTGGCCCAGCCAGGACCACAGGCTCCCTGGGGTGATGGGGAGGACAAGAGGTGGCTCACGGTGCTCTCCCCAGGTCCTGGGCCCAGCCGTGGTGGGACTGGCGGTTATGGTGGAGGTGACAGTGGTCAACCCGCTCTCGGAGAGCGTGAAGGACTGTGTGCTGATGGTGGAGGGCAGTGGCCTGCTCCAAGGACAGCTCAACATTGAGTAAGTGGCAGCCTGGGGGCTGGGAAGGAGAGGGGCTGCCTTCCCCTTCCCCATGGGATGGGCCAGAGAGAAGCAGCTTGGGCTGGGCACAGGAGAGGTTCTGTCTGGATCCCTGGGAATAAGCCCACTGCCCAGCATGGCAGCCTTTGATCTGTTAATCAATAATTTGCTCAAACTCACAGCAACTCTGCTCCCACTCATAGCATTGACTCGTGTTTCCACTCACTTCCCATTGACTTGGTCATCACTTGCTCGTTCATTTATTCATTCACACAATCTTTTAATTTGTTTTGGTTTGTTTGGTTTGGTTTTTGAAGACAGGGTCTCCCTACATGGTAGCCCAGGCTGGCCTATAACTCATGATCCTCCTGCTGGGATTATAGAAATGTACCAACATGCCCAGCTTCATCCAAACTTTTATTCACATTTTTCACTCACTCATTCCTTCACTTATTCATCTACTTGATTCAGTTTTGATTGGTCATTCATCCACTCATTTTACTTTTACAAAATAATGGGTTACATTATGACATTTTTGTATTTTGTACATGTATACAATGTACTTCAATCACATTTACCTCCATCATTCTTTCTTCTCTCTACCCCCCTCACCAGGCAGTACTGGAGTTTGAACTTAGGTCTTTGTGCTTGCAAAGCAGGCACTCTGCTTGAGCCATACCTCTAGTCCCCCAATTGTTCCTCCTTGCCTCACTACTGGTTCCAACATCACTCTTTTTTTTTTTTTTTTTTTTTGTAGTACTGGGGCTTGAACTCAGGAACTCAGGGTCTCACACTTGTTAGGCATGTGCTCTACCACATGAGCTACTCCACCAGACCTTTTTTGGGTTGGGTATTTTTGAGATAGGGTCTCTCAAACTATTTGCCCTGCTGGCCTTGAACCACGATCCTCCTGATCTCTGCCTCCTGAGTAGCTAGGATTACAGGTTTGAGCCACCAGCACCTGGCCACTTATTCTTTAATTTGCTCACCAAATCATTCATTCACTCACTCACTCACATTCCATTCACTCATGAACTCATTTACTTGTTCATCAGTCATTCACTCATTAATTCTTCCCTCCATTCACCTCTAACATCTAGTCTTTGATCATGCCAACCCATGTTCTGAGTCCCGCGTAAGTTGTTAAGAACACTAAGATAAGCAGATGGGGCTCTGCTTGGAGTACTCTCAGGGACCAATGGCCTTTCCCAGGAGAGGAGTGTGATTTGTGCAAACCGGGATGGCTCTCTAAAGTCCAGGGGATCAGAGGCAGCTCTTGAGTGAGGGCAGGGTGAGGCCAGGGAGAAGGTGGCGCTGATATTTGAGCTAGGCCTTAGGTGATGAAATGAGGAGCTTTTCTGGCATCAAGAGGGAAGGAGGACAGCGTCTCTGTGGCTGGGGTAGTCAGAGAAGGTGTCCTGAAGAAAAGAAACTGATCTACCTTTACGAAGGGCACTCTGGGGGGAAGAAGTGTAAGGTATGTTCGTGGAACTCACCGGAGGTGAAGAGTGTGAGTGGTAGCTGGGAAGAGTGAGCTGGAAACATGAGATGAAGCTTGACTGTTAAGCCATGAGGTGACCTTGATCCTGAGGGTGCTGGGAAGCCACGGACTAGACAGCCAGATTCAGGAAGAAGAGAGGACTGATGCTAGGCCTTTCCCCCTGCTCTTGCCTCCAGGGTCCCCAGCCTGGAGTCCCAAGAGAGAGCATTGGTCCAGTTCAACATCACTCCCTCCAAGAGTGGCCCAAGGCAGCTGCAGGTGGACCTTGTCAGCCCCCACTTCCCAGACATCAAGGGCTTCGTGATGGTCCACGTGGCCACAGCCAAGTGATGGGTCAGGAGGAGCTGAGGGGGGTGGAGCCCCCTTGCCCTCCTGTCCATCTCTTTGTCTTATCCATGTGGAGAGCCAAGAGGCCTGGGTTAGTCCTGCTTCCCTACTTTGTGAGTTTAGGCAATTCCCTTCCCTCCTGGGCCAGTCATGCTTAACCTTTTGGACAAATGGACAATGTAGGAACCTAGAGATCCTCTACCCTCTACCTCGCAGCTACGTGGCCTGTGCGCCGAGCATCACAGGAGCCCTGGACCATCTGGCTCTGCCATCTGTCCAGCCAGCTAACCTCTCCTCACTTCTCTCTTGGTTCTTCAAGTGCTCTGGCTACATCCAGACCCAAAAAATCCTCCCTGAGGCCTGACTGAGGACCCAGAATATTAGATCTGGAACCTAAACATCCCTGAGCACCCCCATGACAGAGAAGGAGGGGTTTGCTAAGGCCATAGGCAAGTGATAGGCAGAGTCAGGGACCATGTGCAGGCCATTCACCCCCATCTAAGTGTTACCCCAATATCAGGTTCTTAAAATTATTCAATTTTAAGCGATGGGAGATTTTCTCCCAATGGAGATGAAAGCTCTGTATTCAAGTGACTATGGCTGCCTGAAAGCAACTGAAGATGAAGAAGGGACATCAAATCAGGTTGCATTTCTCTAAAATCCACAGCCTTGATCTAATCTGGTTAAGATCATCACAGAGCTCACAACGACCATCCCCATTCACCCGATGCCTCTTTCTCTGGAACCAGCTACACTGACTTTGGGAAACACCCCAGCAGCTTGCACTATGCAAATCAATCATGCACTTGGCATCAATACAGGACACAGACCCCTGGGACAGGGGCCACAGGAGACACCACTAGGCCAAGGTGATGTGCACTGGATGTGTAATTCAGCTCTAAAACCTTCTAGCCAGCCAAGGGAATTAAAATTAATCCTATAATTTAAGAAATCCGGACAACAGCAACAAAACAGGCCCATCTGAGCCAAGACGCCTCTTGGACACCAATTCAGATGAGAGTAATTTATGTACAGGGTCTTTGCCAAGAAAGGGGATCAGGCAAAGGCACGGACATGTGCAATACATGGTCCTTGAGCTCTCTGTGCAGGCCTGCCTCTGATGATTCCACAGAGTGTGCAGATGGGCCTTGCAGACTGGATGAGCAGATGTGTTTAGAGTCGGGTCCTTGGGCTGCCTCGGCTCCAGAACCCCCTTTCCACACCCAGGCTTTTTATGTGGGTCCCATGTAAGAGGAGCAGCTGGAGGTACAGGGTGGGCAACCATTTTTTCAGGGTTAAAGTTAGAGGAAGCCAGGCACCACTCAGTAAAAGGGGTCATCTCAGAAGGGAGGCTCTGCAGGACAGCCAGGAGGGGTCTCCCCTGGTGCTGCCCCCCACTCCTCGCTCTTCCAGTAAGTGCAGCTGCCTGTCTTCCTCAAGCTCCACCTGCCACAGGTTGAGTTTCCCAGGAACCCAATTCCAAGCTGGAGTTCAGGATGTCCAATGTTGACTGGGGACCAACCACTGTAGCAGGGGATGGGAGAAGCAGGAGTAGGCAGAGGGAAAGTCAAACCGTGATGCATCCCCGTGGTTGCCTCAGGGACCTCACAGGCAGCTCTGAAGCTGGAATGGCCTGTCAGAGCTGCCCAGGCTAGGCCAAGATGGCTGGGCCTTTCTATGCTGGCATCTGTCACTGATTCACCCAGAAGAAGGTGTGACTGTAGGGAGGGGAGTGCTCCATGGCTGGGACATCCCTGAATTGGAGGGCAGCTTGAGGGGCATCTGCTGGCTGCACTACATCAAGTGGAGCAAGGACCCCCCCCCTCCACACACACACACACTGCTGAGGGTCTAGGCTGCATCTCCACATTCCCACCCTGCATTCTGTTCAGCCCCAAGGACAGGACAGTGGCATAAGGTCTCCATACCTGTGCTCACGGGGATTAACCTCTAGCTGGTGAAGACAGGTGTTCAATAACAACATTTTAAAAGACATGAAAGCAAAATGAGAGATAAAAGTAAACAAGTAAATAAACTTTTCAGTAAATAAGCTATTAAATTTAGTGATACATGCCAAAAAGAAAAAGTGACGGACTCTTCTCCCTGAAGGGTGAGGTTAGGATAGCCCTACTTTAGAGAGAGAAAGATCTAAGAAGGCTGAAATGTTCATAGTAACAATAAAAGTAATGATTAAATTAGTGTGCATAACAGGAACTGTTTCAGGTGCTTTGCTCATATTAATTTATTTATTTATTACTTTATTTAATCCTCATAATAACTCTATGAAGTAGGTACTATTATTCTGTCTTCTTTCCAAATGAAGAAGCCAGGGTACAAAAACATTAAGTCTCTTACATATAGTTGCACAGCATTTGAGTGGTATATGTGGCATTTGAAGTCAGGCCATCAGTGATAGCTTTCTCAGACACTGTTTACATGAAGGACCAGCTGTGCAAAAGTCTTGGAAACTGTGTTCCAGACATAGAAATAGATATGCTAGTTTGGGGCTTGCATTAATCAGTTTTCTGTTACTATAACAAAATACCTGAGGTAATCAACTTATGAAGAGGAAAGGTTTATTCTGGCTCACAGTTTTGGAGGTTTCAGCCATGATCAATTGGCCTCTTTGCTCTTGGGCCTGTGGTGAGGCAGCACATCAGGGTGGGGAGCCCATGATGGAACAGTTTCTCACCTCCTGGTGGCCTGGAAGTGGAATAGAGAGTAAGACGGTGGGGCTAGAGTCTCAATATCCTCCTCAAAGGGCATACCCCCTTAGGACCAGAAGTCTTCCAACTAGGCCACACATCTTAAAGCTCCATTACTTTCCAATATTGACCTGGGCAGGGACAAGCCTTTAACACATGGGCCTTTGGGGGACATTGACCCAAACTATAGCACTCTCAATAGCCCTTATAGGAGGTCCCCTTTCTCACGCAGTCTTGTGGGGCGAGCAATTCCTGGCTCCCATCCCCAACAGCCCCTTCTTCTTCCTCAGGCTGTGGAATACCATGCCTTTTTCAGTCTGCCTCCAGCACAGTCCAGGCTGCCTTCTGGGACATCGCCTCCTAGAGATTAGTATGGAGGGAAAGTGCTAAGGGCATGAAAGGGGTGGCGGTGGTGGCAGAGCCCTAGGCAGCATCCTAACCAGGCGAGTTCTTCCATGATAGAGTTGCTGTGTTCCTCTTACCAACAGCTATATAACAAACCGTCCCATAACTTAAGGCTCAAAATAACGACAACCATCATTTTGCTTGTGAATCTGCAATTGGGGCAGGGCTTGGTGGGCATAGCTCCTTCCTGCTCAACTCAGCAACCACTGGACCATCTCAGGGACTCCGGCCTGGAATCATCCTTTACTCACCATGCTGGTGGCTACTGGGTGTTGACAGAGCCCTGTGCTGGCACTGTTGATTGGAACAACTGCCCACAATCTCTCCACATGGCCTGGACTTCTCTCCAGTCAGGGCAGCTCATTGCCACGTGAGCATCTCAAAAGAGCAAGTGCCAAAGAAGACACACTGCCTTCATGGCTGAGCATAGGAAGTCACCTAGTGTCATATCTACCTCATCTACTTATCAACTTCCCAGGTTCAAGAAGAGGGGAAGTAGACTCCAATTTATGACAAGGCGTGGGAAGGTTGCAGAGGAACCTGAGGGACCAGAATGCTTTAGCTGTTTTTGGAAATAGACAGTCTGCCATACTGTCCACTGCTGCCTGGGTCTTGACCCTCTGGATATCATGAGATTCCACTTTCCCCTGGATCCGCTCTGTCTCTCAGCATCCTCTGCATTTTGTACTTAATTTCTTCTCTCTGCACTTTTGCTTAAGCCAGTGAAAGGGGGTTCTTTTGATTGCAGCCAGGAACCCTACTACATGCAGACCCTGAAGAGGTGAGCTTGATGCGTCTAAGGCATGGAGGGGAGTCAAAGTGGCCCAAGTGTCCTGGGGCTCATGGCTCTCTTCCTTTTCCCCATTTTTATTAGGATATATTCGTTGCACAGGAGGATCTCATTGTGACGATTCCAAATAGGCTTATATTGTACATTGGTTAGGTCACCACTTAAAGCAATTGTAAGAAGTTTCATCGTTCTTTTCCATGCATGTAGATGAAGCCCATCACCCATATTCCCTCACCTTCACTTCCTCCTTCACCCTCCCCTCCCACATGCCCCCACACACTGTGCCCATTTTACAGTCCTGTCCTTCATTATTAATTCCAAGGTCAATGCTCAAAGGGGTTTCTCGATGTGTCTCCACTGTGACCATTCTTTACTTTGGTCCATTCAGCCCTTCTGTCACTCTCCCTTACCCTCTCCCTCCCACCCATTATTCTACAGCTTTCATTATGGATTGTTACATCCTCTGCCTGCTCAGATGTTATGTATTTCAATATCGCTGACACCCTGTCATTCTCTTTTCCTTTCCCCCCTTGCCTGAGTTCCACAGAGAAGTTCCACTGTTACAGACATGTTTTCCATATGAGTTTGCATGTGAACACATTCGTTTTTGTGTATACGTTTGTCTTTTGCATCTGTCTTCCACATAGGAGAGAAAACACGCTGCCTTTGTCTTTCTGAACTTGGCTTACTTCACTTAACATGATGTCCTCTGCTGTATTCATTTACCTTCAAACCATGTCTTTTCATTCTTCCTTATGGCTGAATAAAATTCCATTGTATATATGCCACATTTTCTTGATCCATTCATCAGTTGTAGGGTGCCTGGGTTGTTTTCATAGCTTGGCTATTGTGAATAGTACTATGGCAAATATCAGTGCACAGGTGTCTCTGTTGTGTCCTGACTTATGTTCCTTTGGGTAGATGCCCAGGAGTGGCATCACTTGATCATACGGCAGTTCTATTCTTAGTTTTTTAAGGAATCTCCATTCTGCTTTCCCCCATGGTTGTATTGATTTGCATTCCCACCAAGAGCTCCAAGGGTTCCTGTTTCACCACATTCATGGCCATCTTCTTGACATTGGTCAGCAGCCCTGACCTCCAAG